TTCTTTCTTTCCTTTTCTTTCCTTTTCTTTCTTTCTTTCTTTCTTTCTTTCTTTCTTTCTTTCTTTCTTTCTTTCTTTCTTTCTTTCTTTCTCTTTCTTTCTTTCTTCCTTCCTTCTTTCCTTCCTTCCTTCCTTCCTTCCTTCCTTCCTTCCTTCCTTCCTTTCTTTCTTTCTTTCTTTCTTTCTTTCTTTCTTTCTTTCTTTCTTTCTTTCTTTCTTTCTTTCTCCCTTATGTTTCTAACCACAAGTATTAGGGATGCATTATAAGAGAAATTGCCCAATTTTGATTGTCATAAGTGTAGAAAAAACTTGTTCCATTGTTCAGAGGGTAGTGTGCTTGAACCTCAGTACAGGAGGGGTCCTAGTTTACCAACATGTATACTTTTAGAACAGGATGAGGATCTCAGGTTGTCAAGTGCATTATTAGAAGAGGTGTGCATGTATAACCTAAGCCAAGTAGAATTCCACGTTGTTAAGCTATTTCCAAAGCTTATCTACCTCATATCTATTTTCTTGGAAACATCTTTCTCTATGGATGAATAAAATTTCTTGCATAAAATTACCACATGGATAAAATTATCCATTCATCTGTTGCTAGGCATATAGTTTGAATCCATTTCCTTGCTATTATGAATAGAGCAGCAATAAATATGGATTAGCAAGTATATCTCTGTGGTAAGATATAAAGTTATTTGGGTATATACCCAAAAGAAGGGATATAACTGAGTCATAAAGCAGCCTTATTTTAGGTTGTTTATTGTTGTTGTTGCTATTATTATTATTTATATTACTTTCCTAACCTCAGCAGGGCTTATTATCTGCCTAGGCATGTGCATTTGACCAGGCTTACAGCACCAGATTTGAATTCTTTCCTGTAGAGGAGGCCTCTCATTCAATCAGAAAGTGGTTGGCTACCCATCTATAAGTCATAACACCATAGCACCAATGGTCATATTTTCTCTGGTAGGTCAGAAGTGTAGTAGGTGATGTCCAATAGTGTTGTTGAAAATTCTCCCCCAGAAACATATTGTGATATCTGTAGTAACTGTACCATTTTACTGTCCCATCAGCATTGAATAAATGTTTATCTTTCTGCTATTTTCACTAGAATTTTTGTCATATGTTTGGTTGTTTCATTTATTTCTTATGATGATAGCCATTCTGGTTGGGGTAGTATGGGATTACAAATTAGTTTGATTTGAATTTTGCTGATGGCTAAGGATATTAAACACTTCTAGGAATATTTATTGTACTTCTTCTTTTGAAAACTATCTTTTATTTAGTAGAGTTGATTAGCAGGTAGATTTATTTTTCTTTTTGTTGAGAAAAAATGTTTCATTCATTTTACACACCAATTAAAGATCCCCCTCTTCCCTCCTCCCACCCCTCAGCCTGCCCCTCCCAACCCATCCCCCACTTCCCCCCACAAGAAGGCAAGGCCTCCCATGGAGAGGCACATCCAGTAGAGGCAAGTCCAAGCACTTCCCCCTGCCTCAAGGTTGCACAAGGTGTCCCATCATAGGTAGTGGGCTCCAAAAAGCCCCCTCATGCACCAGGGATGGATTCTGATCCTACCGCCAGGGGGACCCCCAAGTAGATCAAGCTACACAATTGTCTCGCCATGCAGAGGACCTAGATTTATTTTTCACAACTCTAGAGAGGAGGGATTCTATAAGCAAGAGATATCCAGACCATGATTGGAAAAAGTACAGAGACAACTGGCCAAACTAGTGGATACACATGAACTGTGGACCAATAACTGAGGAGCCCCCATGGTACTGGACCAGGCCCTCTGGATAAGTTCTCAGTTGCTTAACTTGAACTTTTTAGGGGGCCCCCAGGCAGTGGGACCAGGACCTGTCCCTAGTACAAGAGCTGGCTTTTTGGAACATACTGCCTATGCTGAGACACTTTGCACAGCCTTGGTGCAGGGAGGAGGGGCTTGGACCTGTCTCAACCGAATGTACCAGGCTCTGCTGACTCCCCAAGGGAGACCTTACCTTGGAGGAGGTGGGAATGGGGGATGGGTTGGGGAGAAAGGCTGGGGGATGGGAGGAGGGAGGACAGGGGAATCTGAGGTTTATATGTAAAATGAATAGAAAATCTCTTAATATTTTTCACAACTTACTATGAATTCTACATAGCAAACCCTTGTTTGAAGTATGGATGGCAAAGATTATCTCCTATTATATATTCTGTCTATTCATTCTGGAAGTAGTTTATTTTGTTGTGCAGAAGCTTTATAATTTCATGTGATCATGTTTGTTAATTATTAGGGACATTTTCTGTTTTATTAGCATTCTATTCAGAACTTTCTTACTTAAATATATATCCTGAATATTTTTCTCCAGCAGTTTTAGTATTTCAGGCTTTGTGCTAAGGTTTTTTATTCACTTCGAATTGATTTTTGTGCAGACTGAGAGATGTGTATCTAATATTATTCTTCTGCAGGTGATTATCCAGTTTTTTGGGGGTACATTTATTAAGTAGATTGTCCTTTTCTCTAAAAAAGTTTGGAGGATAATCTGTAAGAAGGTTCTTACAGTGCTGAGGGTGAGATGGATGACAAAAAGGACAATAGATTGCCTACCTGGGTCCCAGCCAGGTGTGGCCACTGCTGGAAATGGCCACTGGTAGAAAATGTTTCTAGTTATCAGCAGCTGGCATAAAGCAATGGGGATAGGCTAGAATGCAGGGCTAAAAGGTCTGCACAGAAGAGTCAAGCTTAGTCCCCACGAAAATGCAGAATCCCCAGGGAATGGAGGTACAGTGACACAAGGAACATCTGCAAACAGGCTGTCACAGGGCTGTGGGCAAAAATCATCATATTTGAGAAAAAGAAGGGTAATGAAAATCACCTCCCTGAGTCCCAGCTTGGTGTGGCCAATAGGGGTCCATGGTAGAAGGTGTTTTGGATCCTAGTTGCTGAGTCAAAGGAATGGGAATAGGCTAGAAAGGAAGCTGAGGGTCCACAAAGAGGAGCAAAACTGAGTCTGCACCAAGAGCCAGTGGAGTCACCAGGGAAGGAAGGAAGCATTAATATTACTTTTATCTAAATTTTGTAAGATAAAATTAATACTTGGAAAGATGAAATATTTGTTCAATATAATTTATCTAATACGTAGCTATGGTTTGCATTTAACGTAAGCATTTTAACCCCATAGACTATGCTTTTCTTGATACCTTATACTTCCCTTCCCCCATGTTACAAACTGTGGTTAGAAAATCATGAAGGACAGAGTCCAATGCTGTGGTTTTCATTGTAATATCTGACCTAACAGTATAGCATTAAAAATATGGAAAGTGAAAAACTTATGAACTCTACAAAATTATTAAGATCAATTTAGGAAAATGGATTGGCTTTGTTTATGGTAGTAGTGGTTTGCTTATTTGTTTCATTACTCTCTCCTTAAATAATAACAAGACATATTTTATTTTTATTTCATATTATAACTTAAGATAGATATGTATGATATTATATATATATATTGCATTTTCATCTACACATCTCCAAGTACTCATTTCTTATTTCTTAAACTGACCAAACACAGACTTATGTCTTTGTTTTGAAATATTGAAAACTTGTTGCTCCAGTGGTACAACCGATTATAAGGCTTGTGGTACTTACATAACATTTTGTGAGCTTATTTAGGGTTCATCTTTGTAGGATGTTTAAGGTCTAAATATATGCATGATAAAAATAAATATACTTAAATTATCTCATCAGTCATTATATCTGAGTAAAAATCTGAATTAGTTGGTATTTAAAGAAATTATTTTATTGTTAACCAAATTGGTCCAAAGAAATATCAGAAAAAATCATTTCTGGTCACAAAATTCCAAATATCCAGTCCTCTCTATTGAGAATATATTCCACTATTTTTGTAACTACTGGTAATAACTAAAACTATTAGACACTGAATACTTGATTGACATATTAATGTAAATTAAATCATCAGAGGAGATGGTGAGTTAGCTACAAAAATCTTGAGCCCAAATTAGTGAAAGTAGGAAGGGAGTTAGATGAGAAGTGAGTGAGCAAGATATTGGGGAGGGGCTAAGTGAAGGCAGTGAGGGTGAGAAAAGATACTATATTTTTAAAAGGTCCATTCAAAGAAGGAATTGTCTTTCAAAAACTGGTGCAGCACATTCATAGAAAACAGAATAGTCTATTTTTAGTTTCAATTTTATTGTATTTTAAATATCATTTTAATTGAAACACAAGTACATGCAGAATATTATTTTAAGGTGTGTTACTTTTGTTTATGTTACAAGGAGAGGAAGATGCTAGGGGCCAGCCACTCATACACAGTCAGCCACAGAGTAAGAGTGAAAGTAACATTATAGAAGTAAGAAAATGAAAAAGCCTAGAGGCAAAAGATAGATGGGATTATTGAAATTATGAAAGGCTGAGTAAGGTGAAGAGAGAAAAGAGGGATTCTATGAGCAAGGGCATCAAGATCATGATGGGGAAACCTACAGAGATGACCAAACCAAACTAGTAGGAACTCATGAAATTTAGATCAACAACTGTGGAGGCTGCATTGGACTGGACTAGGCCCTCTGCATAGGCAAGACAGTTGTGTAGCTTGATCTGCTGTCTATATGTCTATCTTTTTTAATATGATTTAAAATATTATTTTGAATTAAGTCTAAACATAATAATGATAACTATATGAATTAAAGAAATAGCACAAAAATAGGGTGATATTTTGTTGATTATATTTATACATATAAAAATACTAGTTGTAGTGTTGTTCTGAATAAAAATACTATGACCCATCATTTGAATGGAAGTTTAAGCAGTAATAATAGTGAAATATTTATTAGAAAATTTTAATGTAATTTACTCAAATAAGTTGTATATAGAATTTGTAACCATTTCCACTAGACATATATATGTATATGTATATATATACATATATGCATATATTAGGAGATGGAAATGTGAAAAAATAGTGATATGACAAATCATATTCTCATTTTCACTTAACTTTCAGACTATATGCTGAAGAACCTGAAGAAATGAATATCATTTCTGAGGATCACTTCCGTTCTCGAAACCATGCAGATCATACTCTCTGTAAAATGGAGAACTATTTGAAAGAGAAAAAATTGTGTGATGTGCTACTTATCGCTGGACCTCTCAAAATCCCAGCTCACAGGTAAGTATCATTATGCAGACAGAACATCCAAAGGATACAAGTATGAATGAGGAGGAGTCTGTAAACTGATTATAAATTGGACAATGTAGAAATCATTTTTACTTTGAAATATTGAACAAATATTTTTGTCTAATATTTAATACAGGCAAAGGTGGATATTTTGATGACGCAAATGAAACAACATAAACTCTAAAAAGATCAGTCTACTTAATTGCCCTTTCTAACAACAGTACAATTTAACAAATTGTGATATTTTGTATGTTTGTTTTGAGACAGACTTTCACTATGTATCCCATTCTGGCTTGGAACTTGCTATGTAGACCAGGCTGACCTAGAAATCACAGAATTGGCCTGGCTCTGCCTCTCTGGGATTAAAGGCATTTATAACCATGCCTGGCAACTGTGAACTTTTAATGGAGAAAGCATACTGACAAGTTTCACAAACTTATTGAAAGTATTGCATGATTATTTTTGATACTGTTGACTGATAAAAGTATTGATTTAACCTTTCTGTTTCTAGATTGGTTCTCAGTGCTGTGTCTGACTATTTTGCTGCAATGTTTACTAATGATGTGCTTGAAGCCAGACAAGAAGAGGTCAGGATGGAAGGTGTAGATCCAAATGCACTTAATTCTTTGGTGCAGTATGCTTATACAGGTAAACTCTCATTGTGCATTAACTAACATGAACTCTGCAGTATATATTGTGATATTTTATTTGTGCTGAAATGTGGTGACATTTTATTTGTGCTTAAATAAATAAAGTTTTCCTGGAGATCAGAGGAAATAACAAGCCATTTTAAGTAAACAAAGAAGTCAGACAGTGGTAGCACATGCCCTTAATCCTATCCATTAGCAGGCAGGATCTCTGTGTGTTCGAGGCCACACTAGGGAACAGAGCCAAGCATGGTGACACACACTTTCAATCCCAGTACCAACCATAGAGGCCTGGAGGTCTGTACAGACAGACAGAAATTGACAGAGCTGTGTAGGAAGTGGAAATGAGGTAGTTGGGCTAAGAGAGCCAAATGAGAGGGCAGAACAGCAAGGGAATAAAGGCGTGGGTAGACAGGAAGTAACTCACATTTGGAAGCTGCAGCGTTGGTGAGGTAAGGGTGGCTGGTGGCTTTCCCTATTTCCCTGATCTCTCTAAGGCTTTTGCTCCTATATTTGGCTGTGTTTTTTTTTAATAAGACCATTTAGAAATTCATCTACAGTTATACATCATGTGTTATAATTATTTATGCTCTACAAGTATGAAAATATAACATTTAGCAGTTAAATCACTTTCTAAAACCGGTAAAATAAAAAAAAGACAAAATAATTAATCACCATTATATAAAATATAAAGAAAGTGTTGTTAAATATTACTAACATGAAAGGATCGGGGTATTTTGGCATAAATATATAAGAATGTGTCTTGTCTGGGTTAAAAGTATGGAGTAAACTGGGCAGTGGTGGCGCACGCCTTTAATCCCCGCACTCGGGAGGCAGAGGCAGGCGAATCTTTGTGAGTTCGAGGCCAGCCTGGTCTACAGAGTGAGATTCAGGAAAGGCGCAAAGCTACACAGAGAAACCCTGTCTCAAAAAACCAAAAAAAAAAAAAAAAAGTATGGAGTAATTCATCTATATTAATTTTAAATATGTGTACTTGGTGGGGAGGCTATGTGCAACTGATTGTAAGTGCCATCAGGGATACAAGGGATTATTGGGCCATGGAGCTGGAGTTAAGGGCAGTTGTAAACTCTTGAAATGAATAATTCATCAAAAAGAAAGAACAATTTTAAAAATCAGTACAGCATTCATCTGATTGCAATTGAGTAAAACCAGAAATCAATCAAAAAAAAAAAAACACAGAAACTATATAAACTCATGGAAATTTACCATCATATTATTAAATGATTAATGCATCATCATAGACATCAGGAAGGAAATTAAAATATTCCTACATTCAAAGGAAAAATGAGAATAGAATACTAGAAACAGTGGGATAAAATGGAAGCATTTCAAAGAGCAAAATTTATAACTATAAATGTCTACATTTAAAAGTTAGAGATATCTCAAATAAACAACTTAGTGAACATTATGGGTATCACAACAATGTAATTTCAATATTAGTAATCAGAAAACAATAACTAAGATCAGGGCATACATTAATTAAATAGTTAAGAATAACACAGTACAAAGGATCAATGAAACAAAGAATTGGGTCTTTAAAAAAAATCAAGTTTAATAAAATTAGAGAGGAAAGGGGAAACATCACAGAAGATACTAATCAAACTCAGAGAATCATTTGAGTATACTTTGAAAATATGTATTTCAATATATTAGAAAATCTAAAGAAAATGACTAAATTATAAAAACACATGAATTACCAAAATTAAATTAAGATAATGTAAAAAAAACTTCAGTAAATCTAAAACAAGTAATGAAATTGATAAGGTAGTTTAAAAGCTCCAACAATGCAATTTAAATAGCTCAAACCCAACTTCATCCACTTTTGAATTTTACCAGATATTTAAAGGACTAATATGAATACTTCTTGCATAATTCCACAAAATAGAAAGGAAAGGCATGCTACTAAACTCATTTTATGAAAAGAGTCTTACACAAATAAATAGCAAAATGAGTAAACAACATAAATATAGTTACAGGTCAAACTCCATGATGAACATGGATGCAGACAGTCTTGATAAATTTTCAAGTTCAACAACAGATAAAAATGTTGTCAGGATCAAGTTGACCCAAGGAAGTAGAATATGACATACAAAAGTGTGTCCATAATGACATATTAGTGTTAGTCATAATTATACAGAATGAAAAATCAGAATATTTGTAACCTGAAGAAAAATATAGATTAGTTAGATGCATAATATGCACTGTTAATAGGCAATGAAACATGAAGGAAACACTGATAGATTCTCTGATAGGAATGAATTTTTAAATACCATGCTAGTTGAAGGAAACCTACTGTGAAGACTATTTATTATATGATTCCATAGTTGCAAGGGTGTAAGAGAAATTGGAGGTTTAAAAATACAGGATATGATTATACTTCTTATTTTATGAGATAATAACAGTTCTCTCCTCTTAAACCCCAGTTCAAGAAATAACACACTAAAATATGTAGATTTACTGCACACATTGGAAAGTATTTTTTGATCTTTTGTTTGTTTTTATTTTTTAAGTATTGCTTAATTCAGTGCATTCTTCATTGACTACAGCAAAATTTAACATGATCATGTCAATTTTAAATCTTCATAAATTAAGAATTGTTTAATAGCTTCTCATAGCACATGTGGTCCATTTTTAATATTTTATTTTATTTAAAATTTTCTTTTCATTTTATATACCAACCACAGTTCTCCCTCCCTGCCCTTTTCCCACCCCTCACTTACTCCCCACCTCACCGCCCATCCATTCCTCATAGGAGATAAGGCCTCCATTGGGTAGTCAATACAGGCTGGTTTACCAAGTTAGGGCAGGACCTAACCCCTCTCACCTGGATCCTGGCTGAGCAAGGCATCCCATTATAGGGAATGCACTCTAAAAAGCCAGTTCATGCACCTGGGTAAGTCCTGGTTCCTCTTCCAGGGGCCCCACAAACAGATCAATCTACACCACTGTCACCCACATTGAGAGTTTGAAATAAATAGAGCAAATGATGATACATATTACTTTTATTTATGATTGTGAAAAACCTATAAGATTTCTTTTTTTTTTTTTTTTTTTTGGTTTTTCGAGACAGGGTTTCTCTGTGTAGCTTTGCGCCTTTCCTGGAACTCGCTTTGGAGACCAGGCTGGCCTCGAACTCACAGAGATCCGCCTGGCTCTGCCTCCCGAGTGCTGGGATTAAAGGCGTGCGCCACCACCGCCCGGCAAGATTTCTTAGAATAAAAAAACCGTTAAGAATAATATTGTTTATATAAATCATTTGAGGCTGGGCACGGTGGCACATGTACCTAATACCAGCAATTGGGAGGCAGAGACAGGCAGATTTCTGTGAACTTGATGCCAGCCTGGTCTGCATAGTGAGTTCCAGGACAGCCAAGGCTGTTATAAAGAGAAACCCTCTGTCCACAAACCAAAAAAAGAATAATATTCTTTGTGTAAACCATTGGAAACAAGGTTTATAACTTCTGTAACTTGGCTAAAATGACAAAACATAGGGGTATATGTTGTTTACAAATTTTTGCAATAAATCATCAATAATTCTTTCTAAAACAAAGCAGCATTATAAACACATGATTTAAATTGCTTCTGATAACTTCATACTAAAATGTTAATTCAAATCAGCAGTTTTTCATTGTGAACTCTGCAATATTCTCTTCATTTTCAGAAAGAGTCAGAGGGAATTCTGAGCCTAATGTTTGGGCAAAGATAACCTTACCTGATAAATTTACATACAAAAAGCAGATAAAGTATTCTTATGTCTCTTGTTTATAAAGATCTATACTCTTACAAAATGGTCACTGTACTTATGACCAATGTTATTATCCTTAGAAAATATGACATAACATTCCCTTAACTTGTAATGTGAAGTTTTCTAGCTTCATTTATATATTATTAACAATTTAAATTATATAAATTTAAGGTGGTATTCTTATATATGTATAGAATGTAAAACAATTAGTACAAAATTGAAATGCAAGCTTTTCTTAAGTTGATAAGAGAATACTGTTACCATTCTTTGTAATATTCACTATTCATTTACTACAGTCATTTTGTATAATCTTGCCTGACAGCCTTTTCCCTCCTTATTTGTATGTTCACAAAGACTCCTTTGTATTTTTATCTTAAACCATATTCTTAGAGAAGCTACTGACCATTAAAGATGCTCCTATAAAAAGCAACAAAAATGTCACCTAAAATATCTGTGTCTTATTTTATGTGATATATAATCATTTTTTTATTAACTTAAACCATTTAGGTGTGCTGCAACTGAGAGAAGACACCATTGAAAATTTGCTGGCTGCAGCATGTCTCCTACAGCTGACGCAGGTCATTGATGTCTGCTGCAATTTCCTCATAAAGCAACTACATCCTTCAAACTGCCTAGGGATTCGCTCATTTGGAGATGCCCAGGGCTGTGTGGAGCTCCAGAATGTGGCACATAAGTACACCATGGTAAAATCATTTGTTTCAAATTAACTTATTGTAAAAATATATACTTTCCCTGATAAAACTGAAAGCCTATATGAACTCACAATAGTTTTCAGGTGACTTGTACATAATACATACTTTAAAAAAGGTTTTGTTAATGTGAATAATACTCAAAAGTTTCATTTTAGAACTAAAGTTTTACTAAATCTCTAAACTCCAGAAAATTAAAATATTGGTTATTATTAAATTGAACAACTCTGTATTTGTAATTGAATCTACAGCATTGAAAACATTACCTCTATGAGTTTTTGCATAATTAGCAATTTTTGTAAAATTGTACAAATTAGGATTTCTACTGAAATTATATAGTACTCAACTTAAAAAACTGCTAGGACTGTGGATACAGCTCAGTTTGTAGATTGGTTACCTAGCATGCACGTCATCATGGGTGTCATTCATAGGCCTTTCATAAACTGGGCATGGTGGCTAATATCTGCATTCTAGCCTATATTCTAGGAGGCAGGAGGATTAGGAGTTCTAGGTCATCCTTAGTTCTATAAAGAGTCTCAGGCCAGGCTGGAATACATGAGACTGTCTCAGAAAAGAAGAGGAGAAGAAAAGAAAAGAAAAGTGTAAATAGTAACAGATCATCAAGATTAGTAACTCAAATATTTTTTAATTGCTTTATGTATTAGAAAAACCTTGTAGTTTAGTTAAAAAGAGAGTTTAGTTCATTCACTGAATTTTAAAAACCCTCTTACCTCTACCAATTATAATGAAGCAAGTGAATATATCAGTAGATCATACTTATTTAGAATTTGTTCAGAATAAAACCATCTTTAATTGGATAACAATCAAATGAAATACAGAATATAAAAGGGTAAGGAAAACTGCACATTTGATATAAAGTAAAATCTTTACTTTGGTTACTAATACTTGTCTGATAAAATGAAAACAAACTATTTAACCTCTGAAACAGGAGCTTGAAAGAGAGATGGATCTTTTTGAAACTTCATCAAAAGATAAATTCTTTGAACAAATTAAATTGCTCCATTCATTTGAGTTTTTAAAAATAGCTTATTGCATACTAATGAACAATATAAAACTAAATGTAAAATCATTCAAAACAAGTAACAGATTGTAGGACAAATACATACATACATACACACACACATATATATATATATATATATATATATATATATGTACACATAAATACTTTTCTAAAGCTTAGCACATCAAATTTGAGTTGTGTAAGTTTTTTTTTGTAAATATTCTTCTTCTTTCTTCCCTCACCCCCACCAGCTCATTGCTCAGAATTTGAAGTTTCAGATACAATCTTGAAACAATGCCAGTATGTGAAGAATCGCATTATCATAGATTGACATTTTACAATGTGTTATTTAGTCATGCTATTTATATTCCTGTGTCCTAAATACGGATGCCATATAATCTAAAAGAACAGCAGTTATGTAGTTCAAAGGTTAATCTTACCATAAAAGCCAAACATGAAAACTTCCTGTTAAATTGCTTAAATTCTTGAACTAAGTATTATCAGTTTCCTGTCTGGTATCTTACTCTTGCAGACAAAATACACTTTGATAAACAACTTGAATTATTTTTGTTGCTCAAAATGAACTTGTCTTCCTCTTTGCATTGTGCTATCCAAACTGAGTGTCAAAGCAGGATGTCCATAAAAATGCAATAGAGCTTTGTCCCTTAACATCCATTCCATTAATATTATTCTCTATTCTGATTACAATAAAATTAGAAATACTCCTTATAATACTTTTACAATTCTATATTGATAGGATAAGAACATAAATAATTACATTCTAAGAATAATGTTAGAGAAAATAAGTATTAAATTATTGCAGCTATGTAATATTGTTAAAATATCTCTTACATTCTGAAAGACTGTAGCTTTGCTAGACCTCACAGCCACTTAATAGTACACCTTGAAATCACTTAAGATTTAGAGCTCTTGCCCTATTGTGTACTCAAATTGCCGGTTTAACTTACTTTTAAGAGAATAATTTGACAGACAAGCTTACTTCCTTTGGATTTACCACATAATCAAGTTTCACAGCCTAAGATAATGAATGCATACCTACAATTTGAAATTATATACTCTTCTGAGACCCTGACCTAGACTATTCATGTGTATCGTTTGGTGAAAGCAGCAAACACAGAAGTTGAAAACAACTTCCTAAAATCTAACATAAAAATTGAAAGCAGTGGATATTGGTTGATGTTTGTTGCCTGGATTAGTAGGAATCAGTTGGAGTCAGTGACTTATTATCTTATAAAACTCTGTTAACGATTTCTGTAAAGTACCCCATTCCTTCTCCATGTAATGTTTTCTATACTGCTCAATAAATACAAAGTTCTTGGTCAATGGGAGACACAGAGACTCACATAGACAAACAAAGGACAGTTACAGATATATATTCAGGAACAGATTCAGACTTATACAACAGACAGAGGAGAACAGAGCACACAGGGAGTATAAAGTATCTCTTGGTCAAATTACTCCAAAAGAAAGTGCTTTCATTTCTTTCCTTAATGAGACACCAATGCACTATTGGTGATTCAGAGTTAATCACTAATGCTCGCAAATTGTAGTTGAGTTGGTAGAATAAGGAAAGCAGCTTACTCACCCTGATTTGGGTGGTATTCATCCACAATCAGCCTCAGATACATACCACAAGCGGACACATAAAAGAGTCTATCTCAGTCATATAAATACTCAGAATAGAATAAACAGTACATTTATTTTATAAAACTTATATGAAATTAAGTGCAGATCCTAATGGTTAACCAAAAACATAAAAGAAAATTTTGGGAGAGGTTGCATAAAGAAAAGAGCATTAGGTTTAATATAAAACAATTTAAAAAGATTTCTTGTCTACAGTACGAATTTCCACAATGGCATGCACAGATATTTGAACATAATACATATACTTTTATTTAAACTAATCTACATTGCTCATCAGTTTTCAATATTCTTATGAAGCAACAACTCTGAAGTGATATCAATTGGATCACAAATTATAATATATATTTTTATATTACATATCATATCAACAATTTCTTATCATTGCTTAAACTCTCCATAGAGGCATTTTAAATAAACTTCTCTATGATCCATTTTGGCATTGAGTAGGTTTGGCACACTGAAATCTTCTGTCTCTGGTTTCCGATTTTTATTTGAGGAATAAATACAGTTTCAGAATTAACACCTGATAACGGTGACAGTTAAACATACATTTAATTTTTATAGTGTTTCATTTTTTCTTAACATTTCTATAAATGCTTTATCACCTAGAAAATATAGTTGTATAATTAAGCAAAATATAGTAAACATGATTTCAGATGTTAATGCTTGAGTTCAGAGTTTTCAGCTCATTATATAGGAGTTCAAATGCTTCTCATTACAGTAACTCCATGTCCTCATAAGATCCCATAGTGATTAGTTAACACTTGCATAATTATTTATTAATGTGTGAAACAGCATAGCAATGATTTGCTATAAATGGGAGGAATGTTAGCCATAGTGGTTTGCTACAGGAAGAACATCAATTTTGTCTCAACTGATTGCTTTAATCACAAAAGTGTTCATTGTCTAAATAGGCATACCCTTTTGTGAATTCCTGGCATCAGCCTTTCATTATGGAATTAGCAGCCTTTTTTATTTTAATTTTTTGCTTTATGGGCCATTTTGCTACTTAGTCTCCTTTCGCTAATGACTAAACTAGGAGTAGAGGTGATGTAATGATTTGATTTAATCAAAGCTGCCAATTATTTAAACTCTGTTTTAAGATTCCCACAGAATATCTACTTTGTATGCAACTCAAATTACAAACTAAATGCTTAATTCTGTTTTAAGAGTATAATAGTTTATCATACTTAAAGCTTGAGATATTCAACTGTGTAAATATTTGAAATAACCTGTTCTAATAATATTTATTTAAGAACTAGAAATTATGGTGGTGCTTTGATGAAAAATTGAAATATAACTGCTTGTACTTTGATACCAGATGAAATATATGGCAATTGCAAACATGGAAACATGAAATAAAATACATTAAAATATGTTTTCTAATCTTTGTGGAGGTTAACAAAATAAAAAACTGTGTATTCTTATTTTTATTAAGCAAATTCTCAACTACTATATCAGAAGATGTTGTTTCTTTTGTAGGAACATTTCATTGATGTAGTAAAGAACCAAGAATTCCTTCTGCTTCCAGCTAATGAAATTTCAAAACTTCTGTGTAGTGATGACATTAATGTGCCTGACGAAGAAACAATTTTCCATGCTCTTATGCAGTGGGTAGGTCATGATGCTCAGACTAGGCAACGAGATCTGGCGAAGCTGCTTTCTTATATCAGACTGCCATTACTTTCGCCACAGGTATGGAACTTTATTAAGGTAATGTAAATTAGATTTCTAAATTACTGCTAGGCAGCAGACCAGTCATTATCCATCCATTTTTTTCAGAGAATATATAGTAATGGTGTATATAGAATTCACTTCATAGAACAACATACTCTTCAGTTAAAAATATTATAATGGAGCAAAGGAAATGCAGCTTAAAAGAGTAACCTATAGATGATCCTGAACATTGTAATATCCATCAGTTTCAGTTTCCTCCCTTGCCAAATAGCATTATAACAAGCAAAGAAAATGACTGGGGATCCTTTTCTGTTTCCACTCACCTTCTAAGCAAAGTGGTAATAATCAAGATAGCAGCTTTGTGTAAGGGGCTTTAGGAGGAGTCAGATACAGGATAATACCTACAAACATGGACAATTATCTGCTGTAATTGAAAGCAAGCTCCTGTCTTTTCAGATGCACTCATTATAATGGTATTCTCATTATGTATACTGAACTAAAGGATTGTAGCAAAGATGATTCTAAAAATAAATGTCCTTAGTTAAGACCTAGGATTGGCTCATATGTTGTTCAATTTTAACATGAATTTTCACTGAAAAGCAGTGCAGGCCCGTTGTATAATTGCAACATTTGCATTAACAACCATTTATCAATTGCAAACTGATCTATAGTAAATATGGTTTGTACAATATGGAAAAACACATTGCTCATATGAATTTCATATTTATTGGATCTGGCTAAAGTGCCCCAAATCATTTACTTTGGAAAGAAAAGAAGTCTTGTAAAATTAATATAAAATTCATACATTTTATAACATATTCCTCAATTAAATTTTAATATTGAAAAAATGTTACTGTATTGATAATTTTTCTCTTTATTTTCAGTTGTTACTTATTTGTATGTGTTTATATAAAACATTATTATAAAGCCAAGCAATAACCCAAATTTGTTTTCTAAGGTGGTTGTTACTCACATTCTAATGGAGTGAAGAATAGTTGCTGACATTATTTTTAGTGTTTTAATTTGCATACAATGCAATTAAGGCTCTCCTAATGACATTTCATATGCATCAATTATAGTTTGTTGATATTCAGATTACTGTCACCTCCCATGTCCCCTTTTTGCCTTTCTTTTATTCCCCCACAAATAAACATCGCATGAAAGTATAAGGGACACACCCTTGAGTACACACACTTATAACTAAAAATAGATTTTGTACATGAGTGGAAAAGGTGATATTTCTCTTTGTGACTAGCTTATTTTGCTGAGAATGGTCCTCAGTTCCCTCCATTATCTTGTAAATTGTATTGTCTAGTGCCTCTTTATGGCTAAATGAAACACCATTTTCTTTCATCCAGTCATCTGTTGGTGGGCATTTAGGTTTATTCCATATCTTAGATTCTGTGAATAGTGTTGCATTAATCATGGGTGAGTAGGTAACTCTACATAGAATGTTGAATTAGATTTCTTTGGATATATTTCTGGGATAATGTAGCTAGACTATATAGTAGCTCTATTCTAGATTTTTGAGAAAACTTCATACTAATTTCCTTTTACCAGATTACTTTTGCAACATCAATGTACAAGGGTTTCTTTGTGTTTACATCAGCCAAATATGTTACTTATTAGAGTTTTTAAATTTTGAACTTTAAATCTTAAAAAAAAAAATTCTTACAGGTATATATTGATGATGCCCATTTGGACTGGTGTGAGACGAAATGTCAGTGTGGTGTTATTTTGTGTTTTCCTGATAGCTAAGGATGTTGAAACTTGTATTTGTTTGTTGAGTGACCATTTGTGTTTTTTAGTTTGAGGATTATCTGCTCTGTTCAATTCATTTGTCCTTTTATTTATTGGATAAATTGTGTATTGGTATTTAAAGTTCAGAGTGTTTTGTGGATTCTAGATATTAGCCCTTGTTAAATGTATAGAAATTTCTTGCATTCTGTAGAGGTCTGTTACACTTGTTTTCTGTGAAGCTTTTTATTTATTTTATGCAATCCTCATCCTGTTCCGTGATCCGTTTAGAATCGATAGGTGCAGTGTAAGAGGTAGAAACTTGCCAGGTGGTGGTGGCGCACGCCTTTAATCCCAGCACTCGGGAGGCAGAGGCAGGAGGATCTCTGTGAGTTCGAGGCCAGCCTGGTCTACAAAGTGAGTTCCAGGAAAGGCGCAATACTACAGAGAAACCCTGTCTCGAAAAACCACCAAAAAAAAAAAGAGGTAGAAACTTATACTTACTCTTAAGCATGTGGATATCTGATTTTCCTCCCTCCATGTGCTAAAGAGAAAATCTTTGATACGGATAGTTTTTTATCAAAAGTTAGGCTGTAGGAGTATAGTTTATTTCTAAGTTCTCTATGTTGTTCCACTACTCTATCTCTCTGTGCCCCTGCCTCGTGTGTGTGTGTGTGTGTGTGTGTGTGTGTGTGTGTGTGTGTCCATTTGCATGAAGAACGCTATTGTCATTTTGTTTGGGATGGCTGTGAATCTATACACTGCTTTCATTAATGTAACCTTTCTTATAGTATCCATGACCTTCTTCAGTCCTTTAGAGTTTTCCTGGTAGAACACTTTGGCCTCCTTAAATAGGTTTATTCTTAGGTATTTTACTTTTTGCTGCTATTATGAATGGAATGTTTTCCTAAACACAATTTTCACTGGCATTAAAAAAATCTACTAATTTTTATATATCAAGTTTGTATCTTGTTACTTTTCTGAAAGTGTTTAGCCCATCTAAGACTCTTGTAGTCAGCTCCTTAGAGCCTTTTACATATATAATCGTAAGTATGTATCCAAATAATTTAAGTTCTTCTTTTCCTATTTGATTCACTATTATATTTTCCCTCATAGATTTAGCTAATAATTCAATTTATTGAATAAGAATTGAATTATTATTATTATTCAAACAATTCTATTGAATAGAAAGAGTGGCCACTCTTGTATACTCTGTGATTTAAAGGGAAATTCTTTCAGTTTCTTACCTTTTAATAACTGCCCAAGTAATGCAGTTTCTTTCAGTCTTCTGCCTGTTTCATTGATCTATATGTATATGTGTGAGTGTGTGTGTGTTTACATGCACAAGTTTTTGTGACAATGCCATGCTTATTTTGTTAAAATGGAACTATTGTACTATATGAGATTGAATATCATGATACCTTAAGCAGGATATGAATTTCCCTTATATACTCTTTATTATATTGAGGTGTGTTTCTTCTAGTAACAGTTTCTTCAGAGCTTTTTATCCTGAAGGTATGTTGAAATTCACTGAAGGCTTTTCTTGTTGTTGATATTGTTTTACATTTATTAAAATCATCTTGTGTTTTCTTTACCTGAGTCTATTAATTTACAGTTTTACATTTGTTGATATACATTTGTTGTAGCTTCTTCACATACCACAAGTGAAGCATATTTGATAATATTGTATGACATTTTTCATATATTATTCAATTCCATTCACAAATATTTTTTGATATATTTTGTGTCTAATTTTACTAGGGAAATTGGTCTAAAATTTTCTATTTTTTGTGTGTGTCCTTCTCATACACACAAAGGTTCAAGATAATCATAGCTTCTTTTAGTAAAGTTTTTATACAATTCTATCTCTTTCTCCTTTATTGAATGGTCTAAGACACATTTATGTTAATTCTTCTTTAAATATCTGGTAGAATTCATCAATGAATCTGTCCAGTATTTTCCTTTTCTTTGTTGGGATACTTTGATAAAGCCTGAATCTTTTGTCTCACTATTTTATACTATTATTAACACTTTTATAACCTCTGAATTTAATTTTAGTAGGATGTAGCTGCTTATGAATTTACCCTTTATCATAGATTTTCCAGAGGCTTTGAAATAAAAATTTTGAAAGTATTCACTAATGATTCTTTGGAATGAATTTGCCTCTATTTTAGTGTTTCTTTTTTCAGCTATCATCTTGGTAAATTTGGCCCTTATCTTTGTTTATTTCATTGATTCTTTGTAATGTTCTTCTATTCTCCATTCCATTATTTTCTGCAATAACATTTGTTATTTCTTCCTGTCTATTGACTTTGAGTATAGTTTGTTATTAATATTGTTATGGTATTAAAATGCATTGTTAAATTGTATTTTTTTTTAATGAAAGCATTAATATCCTCTTAGAACTGCTTTTGCTATCATATAGTTCCTAATAAGCTCTTTTGTTAATTAAACTATGAAACTTCATATGTTGTTTGAGTATATATATATATATATATATATATATATATATATATATATATATATATATTCAATGACATAATATCAACTGCATTCTTGAGTATATTGTTTATACAAAAGAATACACAATAGTAATACCTAAAAGATAACTACTTAAATATATATGCATATATATGTATATATGTATATACATATAATGTTGTTCTCAAGATACTAAATAAAGACCAGATAGCTGAAATTCAGAATTTGTAGAAAATTTATTTTTGTGTGAACATGAGTTTCTAGACAACTTATTAGATTCTGTAATTCAATGATGTATGAAATGTCCTCAGAGCAGCAACAAGATATTGTCTATGACCTTTTTAGAATCTATGTTCTTAGGCCCTACTCTGACCAGCCAAATCACTGTCTATAATCAGACTTAATAATATATCTCTTAATATGTGTATCAGATATTTTTAGGCATAGAAAATCCTGAGAAACACTTCTGTATCTGAATCTCTTAAATTTACAGTTCTTTATGTAGATTTGGTATTTCTCAGCAGGTATTAGTTTACACTTTTCTGTATTAGAATGAAGGGATGTGTCATGCCTAATCATACAACTCTTGTTCTCTCAATTTTAATAATGCTTTATTCCTAAAATATGTTTTATGTGAAAACTTCCTGATACTGTTAGTAATAGGCAATGATATGGGCATGTAGGCTTTCTAAGACAAGTTAATAAATTCTAAACAAACCCTATGGAAATAGAATATATGAAGATTATAAATCTATAAAGTGTTTTTTAGAGGAAAGTTGTGTAGCTTAGTCTTCAAACTTACTTCAAATACCACGTTAAAGAAATGCCTACAGTTTTATCAGGCAAATCAAAATAGTGATTCACCAGAGAGATACAACTTGAAATAAAAGAAAACTAAAGTTAACCAGAAAAGAAGTAAATGTCATAGAAATCTTATGGGTTGAGATTAACAATTTTACTCCAGCAAACGTGTTTGCTATTTTTTTTGATATACTATACCACTGTGGATCTAAAACTTCAAAGAAATGAATAGAGTATAATAGATGTCACCATTCTGAAATATGTCTTTGAATTTTCCCCAGTTAATCTTGGGAGCAATATTTTACCTATATTTTATCATTGTTATTTAGGATCCTATATTGTATCAGGTAATGACAATATCTATCACCCACTTTTGCTGGTCTTGACTCGTAATTACTCACATATGTACATTATTTCACCTTAAAAAGCATACACTTTCAGAATAATGCTGTGATGTAACGATAAAGATACAGTACAAATACAGGGAATAATATTTTAACAGATCCTGTTTTCATGACATCTGTGATAGCTCAAATATACAAAAATATGTACTGCTTGCATTAGCTACAAGCAGTAGATGAAGATATCCAACTTTGTGTGGCTATAGCTAGTCTATTTGATTACTTTTGACAATTCTTTTTATGTCTTTCCCCATACTTACTCTTTCATGTTATAGAAATAAACCATGCTCTTTCTGATTTTGGACTCCTTATATATGTGCTGTGCATCATTACTTTCCAGTTACTTGCAGATCTGGAAAACAGTTCGATGTTTACTGATGATCTGGAGTGTCAGAAGCTACTAATGGAAGCTATGAAGTATCATCTCTTGCCTGAGAGAAGATCTATGTTGCAAAGCCCTCGTACAAAACCTAGAAAGTCAACTGTGGGGGCACTTTATGCTGTGGGAGGTATGGATGCTGCTAAAGGTAAAAGCAACACATTAATTGATTGGGAAAATATCTCCATTTGAAAAAAGAAGAGCTATTTCTAACAGCCCACGTTATAAGGATGCTAGTAAATCCTTGTTAAGTAAGTGTATCTGAAGCTGATTTTCATAATTAGGGTAGTTCATGTGATTCTGTGACTTCATTTTCCTTCTCATCTTATGGACTGTACTCCATTAATTACTACTGGCTAAATTCTTAATGGGGATTTTACTTTATGAACACAATTCTAGTTTTGAACATTCAGTTTTTCCTGTCAAATCTTTTCAGGGAAAATTTATCTATCTACCTACCTATCAGTCCATCTGTCTGTCTGCCTGCCTGCCCGCCCATCCATCCATCCATCTATCTATATATCTATCTGTATGTCTATCTATTTTTGAAACAGATAAATACATCCAAATGTATTTTTGCACAAATGTAATAGTGCTATCCAGCTATTGCTCTCAATTCAGCTACATGCTTAAAGACTAGTTATAAAATATACTGATCCAGTTGGGGGCTCCTCAGGCCCTCTGGATAAGTGAGACAGTTGATTATCTTGAACTGTTTGGGAGGCCCCCAGGCAGTGGGACCAGGACCTGTCCTTAGTGCATGAGCTGGCTGTTTGGAACCTGAGACCTATGCAAGGACACTTTGCTCAGCCTGGGTGAAGGAAGGAGGGGACTGGACCTGCCTCAACTGAATCTACCAGGCTGAGATGAATCCCCAGGGGAATCCTTGCCCTGGAGGAGATGGGAATGGGGGATGGGTTGGGGGAAGGGCAGGGGGGTCCGGGAGGAGGGAGGACAGGGGAATTCGTGGCTGATATATAAAATTAAATTAAAATATAAAATAAGAAAATCAAAACAAACAAACAAAAATACTGAAGTGCTGACAGTAAGACCATCAATTCAAATTTGCAATAAAAGCTTAATTTTATATAAATAAGAATTCCATGAAATTAAAGAAGCAGTTTCTAAAGCCATTATCCTTCCCCTTCTTAACATTTTTTTGCCTATGGCTTCGCTATTTGCATGTGTTTTTTTTCCTTCTTATGCTGCTTTTGGATAGAATAACAAAGCAAGGATTTATTTTTATTATTTTATTTTAAATGCAAGGGTGTTTTGTTTTCATACATGTCTGTGAATCATATGCATGTTTGGTACCCACAAGTAGAGTCTCAAGAAGACTAGAAGAGATAGATACCAGATCCCTAGGAATGGAGTTACAGGTGGTTTTGAGCCATCAAGTGGGTGTTGGAAATAGAACCTGTATCCTATGAAAGGGAAGTTGTTGCTCTTGCCAGGTGAATCATCTCTCCAAACTGAAGCAAAGATTTTATAGCTAAAGTTTATTGTGAAGAAAGTAAGCATACTGATAAATCATAAACGGAAATTTATTTATTTATTTATTTATTTGGTTTTTTGAGACAGGGTTTCTCTGTGTAGTTTTGGTGTCTGTCCTGGACCCTGCTCTGTAGAACAGGCTGGCCTCGAACTCACAGAGATGCACATGGCTCTACCTCCTGAGTGCTGGGATTAAAGGCGTGCACCATCACAGCCCAGTGAAATTTATTTTTGATAGATTTGACAAAACAACCTATAACTTGAAGGTTTATCCTAGGAACAATCCATTATTTCCATTGGAAATTGGAAGAGAACATAAGAAATATGTCAGTTAATTACAAAGCTTTTACACTTAGTGAATTTTCTGTTACTATAACAGAGTATCTGAGGCTCAGAAATTCAAAATAATAAAAAATATATGAGTTGGAAGGACAGAAAAGAAAGAAAGTGAAAATAGTAAAGAACATATAAAGGTGCATCTTTGATTTTTATTGGTGTTCATTGATTGTAGAATACAGTAGTATCATTATTACATTTTCATATATGTACATATAACATATAATTTTTTATTACTATTCACTCCCTCTATTATCATTTCTCATCTCCTGTCTGATTTTTGCTTGGAAATAGTCTGGTTTCATAATAACTGAGTATTGTGATAGCAGAATTAATCCATTTGTGAGAGTAATTATTCCTCATCTTATCAGTTCTTCTAATACAAACACCTCTAAATATTGCCATATTTTGCACTAAATTTCAGTATATAAACTCTAGAAAATATATATCAAATTTAACACTTCTGAAAATGAGATTGTAGATGGGATTATTTCCAAAATTTTGAAACTACTTCATATAACTACTGTTCTTCAGAAAATAACAAATCTTATCGGATACCATAATTAATTTCAGGTTTGACAGTTTGGTATTTTATTGTCTTGTTTTTCACATTTTGGTATACTTTTGCTTCTGTAGCTTAGGCTGACCTAAATGGTAATGACAACCCTCCTGAATCAGCCTCCTGAGTTTTGGTATTATGGACATGAGCAACTAAACTTGACTTTAGAGCATTGAATAGAATAACATTAACATCTTCTTGGTACTTAAAATAAAAGCTAAATGTTCTAAGTGCAAAACATGAATGCAATTATCATTCGTTGTGATTTTTTTCTTTCTGTTCTGGGAATCAGTCCAGGGCTTTACACATGCTAGACTAATGCTGTATCTTTGAGCTATAAATTCTGGTTCTAGTTTGTGTTATCTTTAAAGACACAATCTGCAATATAGAATCATTTTTAAGTGTTGAGACTTTTGTTCATTTTATTTATTAATTTATTTATTAATTATATGTGTGAGCACATGTGTGTCACCGTGTGCATGTGGAGACAATTTACAGGCATCAGTTGTCTCCTTGAGATCAGATGCAAACCATCAGATTTAGCTGCTGGCACTTTGACCCACTGAGACACTTCTCTGGTACAGTAGAGAAACCATTATATGTGTGTGTTTGTTACATTTGCTTCTATTTTGTCATTTTCAAGCATTTCTTGTCTATGTTATCCTTAAATGAAGGGATTTTTTAAACAATAAAATGATTATAAGTATATACAGTTTGATGTCTGATTCTAAAGATAAGCAAAATATAAAATTTTTATATCTGAACTCTATTACCACAGTTTTGTTTGGAAGGCAAGTAAGCCTTTCATTTTGAGGGTCTCTGAGTTCTTTGTATATAGAGACACCGTATAAAGCTCTATTGGAAGTTGCCAACTATTAGGAAAATAATAAGAGCTAGTAGTTTCAAGTACCTTTTTGAAAACACTTCATGTCTGACCATATTACTGGAAGAGAGTTTCTATTACTTCTACTTGGGGCAATATAAGATTACATAATCTTGAAATTCTATTGAATGAATTCTTACTAAAAGTCATGTTCTTCTATCTCTATTTTCCCTATTCTAGAATGGATAGCAGCAAAACCCTCCCTATACTTTGTGGTTTCAGGTTCTTGAAAAACCAGAGTGAGCACTTAAGATCAACAATAAAGCAGTAAAGAATTAGATACAAAATCTAAGTAGTAAGCACAAAAACATGTAAAGGGTAATATCTGCTTATATAAATCAGTATTATATTTAAAAAAGCATTTATCGGTATATTTTTTCACAGTGCTATATATGCCTTTCCTTATAGTATATTGTTTCAGTTACCTTAAAGATGCCTTTTGAAATTTCACCTATTAATGTCTAGGAATATAGTACTCTGTTATTTAGTTTTGGTTCTGTATCATATAATAGATACAGAACTTCAGTTAAATACAGATATTACACAAATGTCTAATGCTAACTTTAATGACTACAATATGTCATGAAAGAACCACTAGTCAAAACTTTTGTGATTGTAATAAAGAAGTTAAAAAAAACCCTTACCTTCTGTAGCTAGACTAATGTCCTGGAAAACTGATCTGGCATAAAACAGATATCTAAATATTTCAAACTCAATATTTTTGTGATAGCTAACTAATGTAGCCTTGTGTAATTTCTTAACCTATTTACCTTTCCATTGTTCTCTATATTTTCTTAATAATTAGCATAACTTAATTTTTAATTCTAATCTAAATTGACTATAATTTTCACTGATTAAAACAATAATAAAACAAATCAAAAAGAATGAAAAGAAAAATTTGTGAAAATTGTAATAATTAAACAGAAACATAATAACATTCACAAAAAACTGGATTTGAAATCATATAGGAATTTGTATGTATTTCATTTTTAACAGTGTCATCTAAATATTTATAGTGCAGAAAAGATGACCCAAATCAAGATAAATTAGCTATAGATACAATATTTGTTCTGCCTATTTTGCCTTTATATGCCCCAGACATTAGCCTTACAGCTATCAATGACAGCACTGCAGATGTTAACTTTATTTTCATTGTTAACTTTGTTTCAATGAAGTATTTTTCCACAAATCTACCAGGTAAGAATACATGGGAAATGTTTTGCTTATCCCTGTGATAAACTGTAGGAGTGAATACTAATTCAATCAACTTGCATTTTTTCATTAGAAGCCTAGCCATTGTGAAAACCCAGCTTTAACTGGAAACACTCAATAACAACTTTTAGTGAATGACAAAATGCATTGTTTACAGAATTGAAAAATTCATTACAATAATAGTTAGAATTTACTATTGCACTGATGAGATTTGACTATGTCACTAAATTGGTATTTCAGAAGTTTAAATTAAAACTTTCATTAATGAGGTAATTCTTCAGAATTCTGTAACTTTAGCTGCAATTTATCACATAACCACCATGGAAAAGTTTCAGAAACAATGCCAAAAACCTACATGAAAGGAATTTTAATTCCTGATTATTTAATCATCCATCTAATATTTACTTCGTTTTAAATAATTTTAAACACACACACATCTATATACATAGAACAAAGAAATTCTTAAATTGTAGAAAAATACAAATAAAGAATGATTATCACAATTAAAACTTCAATTCACTGGATTCAGTGAACTATAGATTGGAGTGAATATTAATTGAACCAACACTTTACATAAATATCCAGTAACAGAATCCAAGCTATGGGCTTTTTCATTATATATACAATATTCAAGACCTGTATTGGTATGACTAGTAATATAGCCACAATTATATTTCATGTTATATTTAATATTATCACCAAAATCATACTTTGATGACATAAGCCACATATATTATACTATTTTCTGCTCAGTATTCCAGTTTAATTCAAAAGTGGTGGAGTTATCACTCATTACCTTATTCTTCAGTTAGTACTGTCATCTGAGCTAGTTAACTTAATTTGAGCTCTCTTTCCTGGTGCTATGCTGTCAATTAAAACACATAATGTGAAATAACCCAACTTAGAATTTTAACATGATTTTATCATTGCTAATTACATCTTTAACAGGTACTACTACAATTGAGAAGTATGACCTCAGAACCAACAGTTGGATCCATATTGGCACTATGAGTGGTCGTAGACTTCAGTTTGGAGTTGCAGTTGTTGATAATAAACTTTACGTCGTGGGAGGAAGAGATGGTTTAAAAACTTTGAATACTGTGGAATGTTTTAATCCAGTTACCAAAACCTGGGTTGTGATGCCTCCTATGTCGACACATAGGCATGGACTAGGTAAAATATTTAATGTTATATAATTTCTCAAAAATATACAGGAAAGCTTTTCAAATTAAATATAGCAGCACTTTTCTAGGACTTATTCCATGAATTATTACATTGGCTTAAAAGTTCTGTGAAGGTTAGCAAACGTGAAGAGCCCATGGAAATTTTCAACTGTAACATAATGGTATATTTTAATTCTATGTCCCTTCCACCAACTTTTGAAAGGGTTCCATTTCAGAGAAGATAATTTTTTCAGAAAGGATATTTTATGGAGAATATAAAAGGCAAGAGAACACTTTCTCTAAGCTCAGTTGAGAGTGTAAAAGTTTTGACAATGGTAAAGTATTATAAGTTCTAGTTAGAAAATTATGCCTCTACCACAACAACCAAATTTGCATTCACTAAAAGATTTTGGATTCAGGTCCGGGATAAATATATTTATGATTAGCACAGAGCTCTAAAGTATAATTAAGTCAGAGGTTTCTAAGCAGCTTAAGACTGAGTAAGGTTGTGTAGAATTTTGTGGAACTTTAGTTCTCCTGGGTATTTGTCAAGGTACGTTCTTTATACTATGTTCCATGTGCTTTAAATATTATGGTACTTGAAAAATAGAGTATTTGACATTTTGTTTACATGATATGCTTTTAAAGTTAATTTTTAAAATTATTTGTAGGCAAGTGTGTTTATGTGTAGGTTTATGAACATGAAAATAGTGCCTTCGAGATCAGAAGAAGGTGTCAGATCTCTTGGAGCTGGAGTTACAGACAATTGTGAACTGCCAAACATGAGTGCCAGAACTTAACTCATCCTGTCCTTGGCAAGATCAGGACCTACTTTTAACCACTGAGTTATTTCTCTAATTAGCACAATAGACTTTCATATGGCTACTAAGTGTCAGCTCCTGGACTGGAATTTTCTCACCATTTCTTTGATAAGTTGTTTCTGCTAAATCATAAACAATGTAGTTATTATCTGTTATGTAATACTTACCCATGTGCATGTCCTGCAGAGAAATAAAAGCAAGCTTTTAAAAATACAATCTAACAAATGTTAGTAATCACATATGTGAAATGTTTGTACAAAACACAATGAGAGTCTGATTAAGATGTAAGTGAAAAAAGAGGCCAATTCTAAGAGTCCTGAGGGACAGAGTGAGATCATTTATAATTTCTAACAAAAACATCCAGCTAAACTTCAAAAATGAAGGCCTAGTGAATTATCTCAAGGAAATAATTTTAACCCTGTATTCAAATAAGAATTGAAAAAAACATTCCACATTAAGCCTAAAAGTAGTAGTTCATCTTATGTTAAGCATCCTATCCTGTATGTGATTTCATTTTTAAAAAGTGCTGAAATTATGCCAGAAAAATGTTAGTCTCCATTTTAATTGCTTTCCTAGTATTATGCTCTCTGCTTCAGTTGATTTTTAGTTATACAAGAATGATAGTTTTCCATGATATATAGTGATCAGTGGAAGTTTTTCTATGATAATAAGACCCTATTTAGCCTCATATGAGAATCAATTGATTATTCACATGGGCAGAAACCTATTTCAGATACAAAATACAGTTTTTAAAGCAGTTAGTTGCTTCTAAAGTGAAAATACATGTATTGCATAAGGCATGCATAGGTGATCCCTCATACTATGTTATCCTTTAGGTGTAGCCACACTTGAAGGACCAATGTATGCTGTTGGAGGTCATGATGGATGGAGTTATCTAAATACTGTAGAAAGATGGGATCCTGATGGACGTCAGTGGAATTACGTGGCCAGCATGTCAACTCCTAGAAGTACAGTTGGAGTTGTTGCATTAAACAACAAGTAAGCTTAAACATAAAAACTCTTTGCTACCAGACCATGCAGTATAGAGTTTCAGTATTATGATCATCAATCAATAGACATTCTACACTATCAGAACATCCTTATTAGTGATTATAAAAGTCATTTAGTGGAAACTTCCATTCATTATGATGGAAAATAATTGTCTACAATAAATGCTTCATTAAATATTTTATAGACTTTTTCTGCTCAAAATTTGGTCCTGGAACCAGAAATATGAGCATTCTTTGGGACAAATATTTCATCTCAGCCTTGTCTAAAAATACTTAGACTCTGTATTGTAATGAGATTTTAATGAAGAAAAGTATATACATATGAATTTGAGAACACTATTGAAGATAAACATTTCCAATTTACCCTAAATGAATGGCACATTTTGCATTTCTATTTACCCTAAATATATAAAATCATTTGTCTGCCCATGTTTATGAACACAGTAACTTTTTTGTTTAGCAATCTCTCCTCTGAGAGTTTAAGGTTCATAAGTATTAAATTCCATCTGGTTTTGCCCATCCTAAAGATTTACTTTTTCCTGATCTTGTGAAAGCAAGCTAATAATCTCTAATGATGTTTCCAAGCATTGAATTAGTGCCAATTAATTTTAATGGTTTTCTTTAGTTTTTAATTTTTTTCTTCTATCATTAAGAATATATTATAATTACATCATTTCTCCCTTCCCTTTCCTCCCACTAAACTGTCTCAGATAATATTCATTTCTTTCTTTCAAATTTATGGCCTCTTTTTCATTCATTATTTTCACATTCATATATGTACATATATATATATATATATATATATATATATATATATATATAACTAAATATAACCTGCTTAATCTGTATAATGCTACTTACATGGTTGATTGTTTTCATAGACATGGAACCTCTCAAGGTAGCATATAGGATAGCTTACATGATAGGAATTTCAGACAATAGAGTAACCAGTGTCAAGAAGATCTATGTAATTCTGTACTACTATGCGTAAAACATGTAAACAAGCTCAGTAGAAAACCAGCACAGATATATTTTAGAACTCAACACAAAAAGAAATAGGAAATATTTAAAACAGAAATAGGTCCCTATCCATAATATTTTGAAGTTTCACATAATCCTAAACTGACTAATCTAACCTGGTGATATCAAGTGATTCAGTTCCATAATCACCTCTATACATTATACCAGACTCAAATCAACAACTTGAATTTATTTCATTTAGTTTTACTGAGTTTCTGTTGTTTAAAATTCAGTGTGAAAGAAAGTTACATGCATATGGTTTAATAAATGTTTATCATCTTTATTATTATAGTATAAAATGTAAGTTAAAATATATATTAAAATAATTGAGAGTTATAAGTCACTAAGGAAACTTTAATAGCTACATTTTCTTCCTAAAAATAGTCCACCTTCTCAATTCTATTCTATTTCTTTAGTATGTTTATATGAATATCTTTCAGGAAAAATATTTCATACTAAGTAGTTTATACATGACAGAAAGTGTAAAGTGAAGCAGTTGGAACTTCTATAGCTGCAACTTCATTGAAATTGATTGTTGGGACCATATACAAAAATAAAACATTGTATACCTTCTGGCTTTCTGCCCATAATTATTTTCCAGACCTTTAGTGTTAAGTTAAATTTACTTTAACAAAAATCAAAGAGGAATGTTTGGAATAGACTAAGCTTTACCAAGTGCCATATATAAATACCCATTCATAAACCGAGCCTATAGCATGAATCTTAAAAGTTCTTATTAATAAGATCAAACCTGAGGCCAGTTATTGGGGTGAACACTGGAAGGTCAGAGAACTAGAACAAGCCACAGCAAATCTCACCTGACCAACTACTCAGCTGATCTTGTTTCCTCAGACTGGAAGCTTCTGTGTCCTCATTCCAATGGCTCTCAGCTGAACTGCTGCTAGAAGCCTGAAAGCTTCAGCAGCTAAATGCTTCGAGTTTCTGGTCCTCATGCCTTATATACCTTTCTGCTTTCTACCACCACTCCCTGGGATTAAAGGCTTGCTTTCTGGGATTAAAGGCGTGTGTCACCATGCCTGGCCATTTCCAATGTGGCCTTGAATTCACAGAGATCCAGAGGGATTTCTACCTCGGGAGTGCTAGGATTAAAGGTGTGAGTGCCACCATTTTCTAGCCTTTGTATCTTGTGGCTGTTCTGTCTCTGACCCCAGATAAGTTTATTAGGGTGCACAATATTTTGGGGAACACAGTACCACCATACTAGCCTTTCTGTTGCAAATAGTGATGGATTAGAATATACATTATGAAGCGTGAGAAAATAGAAATGCCTTCATTTTCATTTCTATAAATGAATTTTGTATGAATATGTGAACACACACATACACACACACACATATATATGTATATATATATACATATATATATATACATATATATATATTTAAATGTCTCTATTTTTCTAGACTGTATGCTATTGGTGGGCGTGATGGAAGTTCCTGCCTCAAGTCAATGGAGTACTTTGACCCGCACACTAACAAGTGGAGTCTGTGTGCTCCGATGTCCAAAAGACGTGGAGGTGTAGGTGTAGCAACACACAATGGATACTTGTATGTTGTAGGGGGACACGATGCCCCTGCTCCTAACCATTGCTCCAGGCTTTCTGACTGTGTAGAAAGGTAAGTCTTATACATGTACTTATCTGGACTTTTCTTTAATAAGAAAAATTAGAAACTACCAAAATGTGATCTGATATGTTAGACTTTTAAATAGATTTGTTCTTTGTAACATTCTACACCTATGGTTAAACACAAAGTATTTTGTAAAAAGCCCTTAAAATTTAGTATCAAACTTTATGAAATATATTTGTTTAGTTATTATAAAGTAGTGACACAAAAGAGCTAAAAGAGTAAGGACATTTTATGAAAAGGTATCAATCAACTCATGAAATTCAAATCAAATTAAGTTTGCTGTTTCTAAATTCAATTCAGTCTCCAAAATGCAAAAAAAAACCACCAAAACTATAGGCAGAATTTCCAAATAAAATTAATGTTCTGAACAACAACCTTACTTATTGCAATAAGTATTTCCTTGCTCAAAGCTAAATTTGTAGATGATTGTAGCTAGAGTTTTCCTGCCTGGCCCACAGTCAGGACAAATCTCTCTCACCTGCCAGCCCCACAGCCGCTCAAACCCAACCAAGTAAACACAGAGACTTATTTGGTTACAAACTGTATGGCCGTGGCAGGCTTCTTGCTAACTGTTCTTACAGCTTAAATTAATCCATTTCTATTAATCTATACCTTGCCACGTGGCTTGTGGCTTACCGGTACTCTACATCTTCCTTGTCCTGATGGCGGCTGGCAGTGTCTCTCTGACTCAGTCTTCCACTTCCCAGCTTTATTCTCCTCCTTGTCCCGCCTACACTTCCTGCCTAGCCAATGGCCAATCAGTATTTTATTTATTGGCTAATCAGCAACACATTTGCCATACAGAACATCCCACAGCAGATGATTGTTTTTACACTTTGCTCTTTGTGGGCCTACCCACCACCTAAATAAATACATGGAGACTTATTCTTACTTATGAATGCCTGGCCTTAGCTTGTCTTATTTTCAGCCAGCTTTTCTAACTTAAATTATCCCATTTTTCTTTAAATGTGTTTTGCCTCTGGGATTTTACCTTTCTCTTTTCTGTTTTTCTTTCCTTCTTATTCTGTTGACTGACTGGGTGGCTGAGTGGCTGGCCCCGAGCATCCTCCTCTTCTCCTTTTCTTCATCCTCTTATTCTCTCTTCCTGCCAGCCTCTCCTTTTTCTCTCTCCTGCCTCGCTCTTGGCCATTCAGCTCTCTATCAGACCAATCTTGTGTTTTAGGCAGGAAAATAATACAGCTTTACAGAGGTAAACAAATGCAACATAAATAATGCAACACAACTTTGCATCATTAAACAAATACTCCACAGCATGAATGAATGTAACATATCTTAAAATAATATTCCACAACATAAGCTCTTTGAATTGAAAACATTGATTCAGATAAATGGCATGGTATGTTGCTTAAAATAAAGATCATCTGTCTGTATTCTCTTTCAAAGTCGACAGCATGTGTGGGTACAAAAACAGTTAAAATAGTGTTAATTTATCATCAAATCATAAATTTTTCAGTTGGATCTCAGAAGACACAGATGATTTAGGGAATATGCCCTTAATGAAATTAATGAAACAGGTAGATTTTGTACTTTGTAGACATAAATTTTTGTTGAAATGTCCTTGCTAATGCACACACACACACACACACACACACACACACACACACACACACACGTCACATTTGATTGAAGCCATTACAGTAAAGAAAGTAGGGTTTTCTAGTTTGTTGCTTTGCTTCTCTGCTGACCAATCCTAACTTAGTGGAGCAAGGGACTTATTTCAGTTTATAGATGAGAATGTGGAGGCAGAAGTGAAGCAGAGAGTATGGAGGAACACTAACTGTTCTTGTTCCCCATGGCTCACTAAGCTTGTTTTCTTATACAGCCCAGGTGCATCTGTCCTGGGATGACACTGCCAACATTGTTGTGCAATACCCCACATTAGTCATTAATCAAGAAAAAAATGCCCACAGATATGCCTTCAGGCCAATCTGATGGAGACAATTCCTTAATTGAGGGTCCTATTTTTCCAGTGATTCCAGTTTGTTAAATTGACAAAAACTAACCAGCACAACAGAAAAAAAAAGTGCTTTATTTTTACAACATTATTATGCGTTGAAAAAACAGTCAACTTGCCCATTATCCTGGATTTCTCTTAACCATTATTTGATACAGAAGCATTTAACTTAGATGGTTCCCAAACCATCAGTGTTCATTTTTTTTCTATAATGTTAATTAAAAAATTAAGTTCAAGAAGTCAAAGAAATTTTCCCAATTATTCTATTATATGAGCAATGAGCCCATGATTAAGCCTCTTGTTTTCAAGATCACTAGAAATTTCCATTATAATTAATATATATAATGTATCTGTCTCTATAGACTGAAAAGATGGAGAAATGGAGATAAATGGTGCTATTTTAAATTGAATATGATGAACTAGTCAGCATGTTTCTTGATAACTACTACTCCATGTCTTTACAGATTGCAAAAAAATCTCAATAATTTTATTTCCTTCTTAAAATTCCATATTTCCTGGGCTTGGGGTATAGCTAAGTGGCTTAACCAGCCCACTTGTCAACCATGTTAAGAACCTAGATTCACTCAATCCTCAAGAATGCCAATAATGAAGAAATAAATGAAAACCATAACAATTCAACATTTTCTTAACTTGATAATAACCTGATAATATTAATATTTTGAGATTTAATTGTGAATGAATAGAAAATTATTGAGATTTTATGTAAATATGTAAGGAAACCCCTCTGCAAGTTCTCACTCACCCGTTGTACATATAACTACTTTACTTGGAAAATACAACACATAGAGGATCAACTGTAGATTTTCTTGATCTAGGTCTCAACATATAATAACAATTTAAGGTGACACAGTAAGGGCATTCAATAATATATAAGATACATAGAGGTTGTCTTGATAATTTTTAGCTTTCTGATAGTATTTAAATATTATTTAATTGATATCAATTCAGATACAAGTTAAAATGAGATATTTTGAATATCTATTGAAAATTTTTAGATTAAAGGTTGTAATTCTAACATACTTAGTAAAAGGTGACATATGAAAAAAGCTTTAAATGTGCTTTTACAAATAGGTCAATGTGATTAGAGAGCATTTCCTGTATACTTACATGAATTTGCTTAACTTTCACACTTCTCAGATACAATGTTATATAGTTTTAGCATACACTTCAAAATTATAGAAAAGTTTTCCATAAAAAGTTTTAATACCGAATTGGTATAACATATGAATTGAGTTGATTAAAGAAATGCATAGTACTAGGGAAGGAAATACTTCTTTCTCTATGCTTTACATGCCATCTAGTGGCTAAAAAGAGTTATGTCCTGTACATGTTCTTAGATGAAAATTCTTTTGTCTTGTATAGCAAACCTACACTTGATATTGCTTTTCAATGTTTCTAATTATGTGTTTTACACACTAACACATTTTATTAATGCCTATTGATTTTCATTATAACATTACTGGATTTTGCCTCTCAATTTTCTTCCTAAATCTCTTTAGATATGATCCAAAAAGTGACTCGTGGTCAACCGTGGCACCTTTGAGTGTTCCTCGCGATGCTGTTGCTGTATGCCCCCTTGGAGACAAACTCTATGTGGTTGGCGGATATGATGGTCATACTTATTTGAATACTGTTGAATCATATGATGCTCAGAAAGATGAATGGAAAGAGGTATTCATGTAAAAATCTTCAAATTGGTATATTTCAGAATTTAAGGAGTTTTTAAAGCTTAATTTTGGAATTAATTTCACGTTATTCCTCTGTACAGCCAGACCAGATCTTTTCTTAGTAGACAAGTACCCAAGAGTCCTAGGTTCCGACTTTGGCTCTATCACTGTCTCATCATTTGTTTACTCAAAGCATAAAAGAACACTAACAGAGAATGGCAGTATAATTATATATGCCAAATTCTTGTGATCGATCATTTCATTTAATCCTCACAAAACCTTTGAGTAGTAGTACCATTAGCTGTTCACAGTTGAAAAAAACCTGAGAAGATTGTCACCAATGTAAAAAGTTATCACAAAGTAACTGAACTTTCAGCTGAGATCTATTAGCATTCTACAGTCTATAATGATCTGAGCTGCAGTTTTCTTATTTTAGGACCAGGCAAAAGTTGGGCCCAAACATGTAAAGACTCTCTGAAGGTCAACATTCTCAGTTATGCTAAAGACAGTGTTTCTTTTCTTTTTCTTTTTTTATTTGTGTTTTAGGAAGTCCCTGTCAACATTGGACGAGCTGGGGCATGTGTTGTGGTTGTGAAGCTACATTGAAACTCTCATTGGCTAATGTAATGAAATGGATTTATTTCAAGAATGAAGAAGAAATATGGTCTTTTATGAAATTTATAACAAATTCAAATTCTGTTCTGTCATTTTCATGTATAGTTGAAATTGTTAACATTCGTAAGGCTGAAAAATGTGGATTACCTGTTAGTGTTGAGTGTTATGTGCTATCTCAGATCATAATCTAATGAGAAATCCAATAGGTTATGTTTAGCCTCATTACCATATAATGTTAAAGTACCTAACAAAAATTTGGCAGTGGGCAGTATTTGAAGGTGATGAATGCATTAACAATTTTCATGTAAGGATCTAAGAAGTAAAAACATTTCTTATTAAAGGTACTATAAAATAATGACAGAAGCCTTGAAGCATCAAGTCTGGTATCAAACAATAGCTCACCTAGATAATAATACCTCACATGTGCCAAGAAGAAGGGGTTTTCTGTGTCAAAGATGAAATAGACTATTCATTGATATAATTTGTTATACTAATCACACTATGTCAAACTTTTCACAGGCTATTATACTCAGCTAACTATCTGCCAAAATATGTGTATAGATTTTTCTATTCCATGCTGTGGTGTGTTAGTAGATTCATTTGCAGTAAAATATCATAATGTCGCCTATACAATCTATATTCTGTAACAGTGAATATCATATTGATACAAACTGTGCCTGAGCTTCAGAATGTGAGGGCCTCACTTGTACAGAAATTAATTCTCTTCTCAAGCATTTAATGTGTTCTCTATAAACACCTTCCATTAAGTTAAAAGTTGATCTAAACAATTCTAAAGATTACAGTTGAGAATATGATGCATAGTGTTAACACTTGGGAACACCAAAATGTCTAATACGTACAGTCAATTCTATAACTTCTCTTTACCTATCAATACCTGATTTTCTTTCAATTTCATAATCATGTTTACCTAGTAGTAAATGGTAAGAACACATGTACTACAAATCTACACTTTTGAAAGTAAAAAATAAAAAGACTTTGAGTAGTATTTTAGCTTTTAACAGTATTTTCATTTATTCTACCTAATGATTAAACAATATGGTGAAATATTGAAAACTCATGTTTATGACTTAACTTTTCAAGTAAATGTTCCATTTTAGAATTTCTATAATATCTTCTCTTAAATGAACTTTGTATTGTAGAATATCAAAGCAACCATCAAAATTCAGAGAGATGCTTATAAAATGTACTACTCCTCCTACCTATTAATTCTTTTTAAATCACAGCCTAAGTTGCACAAATGTATTTGTACTTTGACAAATTGAATTTAAATAAAATCTTTCCCCTCTGGTTCTAAAGACTGTGCTTTTAGAATACGCTGAGTACATGTCGAATGATCCTTCTGAGGCAGTAGTTTCTCGATAGCTAAAATATTTGCATGTTAATGTACAGTTCCCCTCCTTTGTTTCTTATTTTGTCTCTAATTCTCAACAGAGAGCGACAGATGTTTCTAAGTCTAGAGGTGAGACAGAGAGGCTATCATACATAAATAAAACACATAAGACCTTGCTGGATTTTACTGTTTGCTATTAGCATATTTTAATTACCCATAATAATGAGTTGCCTTGTGACATTTCCTACATTTACATAATGCATATTGATAATATTCATCCTTGAGCTACCATCTCCTTTCTTCTTTCACTGATACTAATCTCCTCTCTCTCCTTTGCTAGGTCTTCCTTTCATGACTATTGTATTTACCTTTTATAACTCATTGTGACCAAATGAAGCCGGGCAGTGGTGGCTCACGCCTTTAATCCCAGCACTCGGGAGGCAGAGGCAGGTGGATCTTTGTGAGTTTGAGGCCAGCCTGGTCTACAGAGCGAGTTCCAGGAAAGGTACAAAGCTACACAGAGAAACTCTGTCTCAAAAAACCAAAAAAACAAAACAAAACAAATGAGTTCCATTAGTGTTGTTTACAGTAGCATGGGTGAGAGGTTGGTTAGATGTTTTAAATTAACATTTTTTTTTATCAAATCAATGTGAAGTACAAATATCTCAGTCTTTAACCCGTCTTGCAGTTTAAGGCACCCACTTAAGTAAGGTTGTGAACAATTTGGTAAGCTACATGTTAAATGGCCTGTTGTTTATCACAGATTGTCAACATTACTGTAATGATTACATGGTATCAACAAACTAAATGTGCCCATACTAATGCCTAATCAAACAAACAGACAAAGAATACAATGTTTTTTTTTTCCAGCTTGCTAGTTTTCTGTTTAAATGCTTATTGACTTTAAGGAGAAATGCACATGTCACCTAGAGCTACCATTTCACAGCTGCATTTGAAAATTATGCTTGGCTACTCTATCCTAGAATGAACTCAAAATGAAATCCAGAAATCTGGGCAGATGTGACCAATATGTATAAAGACCTACAGTGGCCTAGAACACACACACACACACACACAAAAAAAAAACAAAAAACAAAAAAAAAAAAACAAAAAAACAAACAAACAAACAAAAAACCATAGCTCTCTTTGTCTCAGTGAAACATAGCTGGGAAATGGAGTGAAGGCAGTTCCTTCTTTCCAGGTATTCATGGAGATCATCTATCAGTATAATTTAGGCAGACTTAGGTAGAGACATGTCTTAGTTACTGTTCTATTGCTGTGAAGAGACACCATGATCAAGGTAATTCATAAAAAAGAGTGTATTTAATTTGGTGTTTGCTTACAGTCTAAGAGGGTTAGTCCATTTTTGTCATGAGGAGGGAACAGACAGACATGGTGCTGGAGAAGTAGCTAAGAGGTTTTTATCCTGATCCACAGGCAGTAGGCAGAGATGGGGAGAGGGAGAGGGAGAAAGAGAGAGACTGGGCCTGGCATGGGCTTTTGAAACCTCAAAGCCCACTTCCAATGACACATCTGCTCCAATAAAGACATAACTACTCCAACAAGGCCACACCTCCTAATTCTTTCCAAACTGTTCACCAACTGGGGATTAAATATACACATATATGAGCCTTTGGGGATTTTTCTAATCCAAACCACTACAGGAAATGTTTTATTAATTAATATATTCTTTCAACAAGTGTATGAATGCATACATTTGAACACTACAATTTGTAGACACAAATATTGCTTCTCGATACACACACACACACACACACACACACACACACACACACACACATAGATAGATAGATAAATAGATCGATAGATAGCTATATTATTACATTATAATGGGTGACTGTGGGGTGTTTACCCACCAACATTACAGTTCCCTAGAGTTTTTTTTTTTTTTGAGTGAGAACAGCAGGAAATACTAGATAGAAGGATTTAGAATGTGGAGATAAACAGATAGAAAATACAGGATAGCCTCAAGAGGGCCTAGAACCTATTCCAATGGGCCCTGATTGTATCTGCACTAAGGTATCTTATAGAGATGCCTAGGGGTGGAACAAAAGACCTCCCCGCAGCACAGCCAAGTGCAGACCATCTCAGACACCTGCACTCAGGCCTGTGGTCCTAATCATCCTCTCTACACAGACCTGTTGGATAAAGCCATGAGAAACCTGAAAATGGGCTCCCACAGGTGACAATTCCACTACAACACAGGTTAGGAAATACAAAATCCAGGGCCAGAAATGGGTTACCTCTTTTGGAATTGTTTGCCTGTGGGATCCTATAGACCTTACCCCAGAATAGACAATAAGATTTTATTGCTGATGGTATCACATATATGAGTCATAAAATTTAGAGAAATCAATCTGGTACTGACCTAGAAGCTTCATTTCATTCTCTAGCATTCAGATTTCTGAGAGGTTCTATGCAAGTTACCAGAAGAGAAAAGCATCTGCTGTCTTACCCAGCTGTGAACCCTGCAGGATATCATAATGACTTGCATAGCAAGATAAACCCATTGGTGAAATAGTGGCACAAATGTTGCAGGGAATAAGCAAACACTTTCTGATTGGATTACTGCCCAATCCACAAGATGGACCCCATACCTGGCATTGATAATGCGACCAAAAACCTCTAGCTAGAAAATCTTAGGCTCTATGAGAGAACTTACTATTATTATGCTGCTAAATGGACTCCTAATGACTTCTGACTTTAACTACAGACTGGTATATCTCTCAATACTCATAGGGAAGCTTCATTTTGCAAGAGATACTGATATACAGTAAGACCTGTAACATATCCACATGTGGAAAATTAGAAACTGTTGAATGCTTAGCCATACATAGTAAATTTACATCCTACACCATCCTCCCAAGCCTCAAGACTCTTAGAGGAAGAAGAGACAGATATGCAAGAGCCAGAGGTGGTGGATGACTGCAATGAAATGGTGCTTTCTGAACCAATAAGAGAGTTACACATATGATCTCCCAGTGTTTGTGACAGCATGCTCAAGAACTTCACAAGCTCAAGTCAACAAAATCTGATCATGGAGGGCAAAAGTGGAGACAAAGTCCCTAGCCAAGGAAAATTGGCCATTGATAACTTCTGAAATAAGGAGAGTCAGTTTTCTTTAGGGGTGTGACTCCTGGTAGATTTACGGCACTATAGGAGGTAGCCCCAAACCTAGTACAGTGCATTCTATTCACTAGGTTTGGAAGAAACAAAAAAAAAAAGAAGTTGTGTAGGTAGAGAGGTGTGGGTGGATCTGGGAGGAGTTATATGGCCTATGGTTAGTCACAAAACAAGAAGAATAGTATGAATGTGTGAGAGAAATTTGTGGGGAGGAGATTCACTCATAGGAGTGGTAGGGAGGTAGAGGTGAGAGTCATGAATATGCATTACACACAGGCAAAACTATCTGAAAGCAAGTTTAATTGATAGAAAATATTTAAAAACTTTCTATAGTCAGGAAGAATTAACTTGAACTACGGTGGAGGGTACTGAAGTGAGACTAGTCTTACTTTAAAATAAGCCTGAAATAAGAAAATTGGATGGAGATCTTTGGAAGCCATACCTTCACAAATCTTCACAATTCCATTTGTCTTAGTTCTTCCAATTCTACACTAACAAATGTGGTTCAGAAAGTCTATCTGATCCTATATGACACTTCTGGCCAGCCCAATGCACATTAATTTGCTTGACTGAGCAAATGTCAAAGTCAGTGAGAAACAGATAATTCTTTTCTAATCACAAGATGGCTCTTGGTTTTATTCATTGTAGTATGTCCAAAGCATGTCATAGTTTCTAGTATAAAAATGTTTTTCAATAAACAGCTATTCAACTCAATAAACAAATACATCTTGTAATTGTATCAAGGGCCTTGTATTTTATGAAGATTGTATCCAATTAATAGCACTGGAAGAATATGTAGATAGAAATGTCACATCTTATAATACACATCCAAATTAAAAATGGAGAAATGGATGTGAACAGTGTAAGGGTTTTGGAATGTAGAAGAATGTAAAATTTTGCCTTCTGGATATGATTTGCAATCATGAACACACAGTAGCTCTGGTTTATTGAACAAGAATACACAAAGATAGAAAAGGTATTAGTTGGGAAGTAGAAGGGAATCAGCAGAAGTAGGTGTAGATGAATTTCTAAACAGTCTTATTAAATAAGAAACACAATTACAGAGGTAATAGCTGAAGAGATCAGAGCAAATAGCCAAGACTAGCCTTAGCTTACCACCAGCAGTAGCTTCCACAGAGAGAGAGAGAGAGAGTTTCTTCCTGTCTGACCTGTGATTTTATTGCCTTTCTGTTCTGCCTTCTTATTGGCTCTAAACCCAGCCACATGACTTCCTCATCACTGCCTGTCTACACAGACCTCCAGGTCTCTATGGTGGTATTGAGATTAAAGGCTCATGTCATCATGCTTTGCTGTGTCCTTGACCACACAGAGACTCTGCCTGCCATGTGATCAGATTAAGGGCATGGGCTACTACCACCTGACTTCTGTTAATGGCTTCCTGACCTCTGATCTCCAGGCAAACTTTATTTATTAACATACAAATAAAATATCACATTTCAGCACAAATAAAGTATCATCACATTTCCCCTTTTATTCTAATAAAAAGAAAAAAGTTATAACTAATATAAGAAAAACAATATACAATAAGTATAATACCTATATATAATATATACAAGCAATAGATACCTCAACAATGTCTAATCCATTTACATTTGACAAACTCAGAGAAAATATTACATTATCTATCCTATTTTGGTAAGTCCAAAATGTACCTGATTCACTTTTTTTTTTTTTTTTTTGGTTTTTTCGAGACAGGGTTTCTCTGTGTAGCTTTGCACCTTTCCTGGAACTCACTTGGTAGCCCAGGCTGGCCTCGAACTCACAGAGATCCACCTGGCTCTGCCTCCTGAGTGC